CAGCTTTCGATGCACTGCTTCAGTAATGCGAATGCAGCAACAATCAGAAAGAAAAGTACCAAAAACGCTTGCCACGACGCGTCCTCGTAGGCGTAGATAAATATCAAATAAGCTGGAAACATTTCCGCCGACGGCACCACCACGTAAAGTATGCGTTTGAAAAAGGGATACAGCGTCTCGATATACTCAGCCACGCAGGGCAACACAAATTGCGCATTGAAGTTGACATGTGTCGGCGTGTCGGCTAGGAGGTCGCGCAACACGCCGGTAAATGTGCCATTCGCCAGGCAAGCGCCATAGTTCTCATTATCCATGGGCGCAATGTAGCGTACGCTGGCATTGAGATGCGTCACAACGCTGCTGGCCATCAGCCCATCGACGCCAGTGTAACCGGCTGCCGGCGAATGCTTGGGAATGGCGCGTATGAAGTCTTTGAACATTGAAATACGCAGCTGGTAGTGATGCAGATTTTTCAATTTATCATAAAAATATGGTTGGCTTTCGAGCTGTTTAATGGCGAAACCCGCAGGCGTGAACGGCTCAAAGGTGTACACCCAGGCGTGGGAGCTGGTTATAGCGACAGCATTCAATATATTTCTACGCCAAATGGCTGCAAAGAGGCTGCGTACCTCAGCCAGCTGGGCATTTGGCCAAATGAAAATATATTTATGAAAATGTTTTTGCCGCTGCTTGGCGTTAAGCAAACCAATTACGCGTTGCAGATGCGCCGGCGAGCGCGTATCATTAAATGCCGGCAAGAGGAATACACTCAAGCTGCTATAGGCGCGCGTAGGTTCCGCATCAACTCGGTCCAACTGCAATGAGTAGATGGGCAGTTGACACATACATCCGTGTATTTGACGCTCCAAGTCTGGCATGTGGCTATGCTGCGGCACGCTGCTGTACAACAAATTGACTCGAGCATCCACATGTGTGGCAATTTCGCACACCTTTCGAGCGATTGCGGCATTACGGCTGGTAGCCGGCGTCAAATTGAAATGTGAAAAGCTCTGCGCTTCGGCGGAAATTAAGTGAACTTTGAAAATAAGCAACAGCAGAAGTACGACTAAACGTGTGTAGAACATTTTTGCTATTGAAACGTTGTTTTAGAGTTTTCAATTCTGCGATTTCGAGAGCCCAACAGGCGATGAATGCAATTAAGTATGTCAACAAAAAAAAAAACGTAATAAAGTTAGCAAATAAAATAAAATTAACGTTTATATGTAAATAAAGAAACTCAGGGTAGCAGTTGCAGGCGGCAGCCGGTGCGTGCAAAGGCGGGGATTCAGCTATTGCTAGTCGTGAAGCTTCTGCTTCTGCTTCTGCTTCTGCTAACTCTGCTCTGATAGTCAAGCGACCATTAGGTCAGGCCTTCCCAAAGTGGGTGACGCGGTACACTGGGGTGCCTTTTGACCTTTTGAAGATTTTAAACCCATGAATTTCAAGCTAGACGTTCTTAAAAAAAATATCAATTGACCATTCCTTACCAACAGAAAAAGATAAATTCTCGTACAATTTTCCGTATCCGGAAACGAAAAGAAAACGACTACAATTTTCGTTAATTTACGTATCCAAGAACGTCCAAAAAACAACGCGGGTTTCAGTATCCGGTAACGAATAGAAAACGACTACAGTTATCATTCATTTTCGTATCTGGAAAACGTTCGAAACGTTGAACGTTTGAAAGCGTAGCTGAGCGTGCAGAGGATCGTGTTAAAGCTCAGTTAGTCAACGACGTAGCGTAAACGTAGGTTGACGTACGTAGCAGCATATCCAATTTACTGTTGATAGAGAGAGAGAGAAGCTACGGCAAATACGGTGAATTTTCGTCAACACGCGAAGACCATAAGATAGATCGTGTCTGCGTCAACCTACGTCTACGCTACGTCGTTGACTGTTTGCGATTTTACTATTTGTTAGATTCCAAAAGGTGCCGAGTTCGAATTCCGTCAAGCGCTTCTTTATTTTTTTTTTCATCGGTGAAGTGCAGAAGGAAAGCGTATTGAACGAAAAATTCTATCATCTCATTCAATCTCGTCTCCGTTTCACAACAATTTTCGGTACTTGTCTGTACATACACACACTTTAGTGGGAAAACGGATCGTCAAAGTATGCGATAATGGAATCGGCAAACGGACAAAAATCCGCATGACATCCAGATTTTTTTTTTTCTTTTTCGGATAGATTTTCGGATTTTTTGCTGGCTGGCTTATGTAGATACTTAAGAAAAAAGGAAACGTAATCTTACTTGTTTTAAAACAACCTTTGTTTCGGGATATTTATCGATATATTTTTTTATTTCAACGATATTTGTATCGAATTAGTAATTCGTGTTATCGATATTAATCGATTTCGATATCGACTTTATTAATTTGTCGCCATTGTTATCGATAAAATATTTCATTATATATTCGATTCATTCATTATCGATAGCTTAATGATCCGTTATCTGTATATCCTTTAAAATCCAACGATATTTATCGCTACCTTTTCTAACATATGTAACGATGTACGCATTTTTTTGTAGATATGGTGATCGATATCGTTACAAAAAATTTATACACCTTTGGTCCACTAATCAAGTTAGTGATATTTTAACAGTTTTTGGACATTTTTCGGGGTCCAAAAATGATCATTATTGTGGATTTTTATTTTAAAATCATTGCAAAATCTTTTCTTTACTTTTATGGTTATTTTCAATCGTTATTTTATGATTTTTATTTTTTCGGTCATTTTTAGCCGTCATTATATCGAGCCCTAACCTCCCAAATAACGTAAGCGACATTTTTTTTCAAAGTTTTCTTTTTGATGCAGAAATGTATCTCGATGCTCTAGTAATATTTCTGCATCAAAAACAAAATTTTGAAAAATATGTCGCCTACTTAATTTTGGCGGTTAGGGTTCGATATGATTTTTCTTTTTTGTTCGAAAATAATAATTCTAAGATTAAAAGTTATTTTATTATTTTTAATTTGGCGATCATTTTTAATCGTCATTTTATGATTTTTTTTATTTTTTCGATCGAAAATAATAATGATTGGATTTTTATATTTCCGATCATTTTTAATAGCTATTTTGTGATTTATTTTTTTCAATCGTATTATACCGCTATTTTCAAATTCCATTTTTTAGATCCTAAAAGATTTGAATCGGTTATAAAAATAGATACTACGTTTATACCGGTTTTAAAATAATCAAAACAAATAAAATCCAAAATAACGACTAGATTAGAGATGATCGGAGTAAATAAATATCACAAAATAAAGATTAGAGATTATTGGGAAAAAATCATAAAATAATGAATAAAGATGATTGTAAAAATAAAAATCACATAACAACGATTAAAAACGATCGGAGAAATAAAAGTCACAAAATAAAGATTAGATAAGTTATGATTATTATAAAAATCATAACGGTTACGGTCCCTGCTATTTTTCTTTTGTTTATTTAATGTATGTGGTTTTCGTATTTAAGTCTACCTTTTTAAATATCAAGCGCCATATAAACTTACATTTCAAACTTTGTACAAAAATTATAAAAATTGAAAAAATTGTAGCCAAAATTTTAAACTTTTTATTCAGAGTATTTAGAAAAATTTTAGGTATGCACTTCTATAGCATTAAATTTTAGAGCCCTTTAAATAAAGCGCAAGTTTCAAATGGTTAGGAAATCGCGTTAATTCAAAAAAAATCGAATACCCAGAAAATCTAGATTTGACTAAAGAAACATTTGCGCATCCCAGGAATTTTTTTTTGTGAGTACTGATACAAGCGTTTTATATGTTTGTAATCTTAAATTG